GGCTTAAACAACGCGTACCGTGGAAAATTATCCCCAACCACTAGTGGGAATGTGATGCCATCGTTATAGTCTTTGATGTTGGAGATGTCGACCCAGTCGACATCCCACATATCATAAATATGCAACAACGAAGTTTTGTTTGGGGGTGCTTTGTGTCGAACTTGTCTTTGTCTTGTCTGTAAGGATCAGGATATCGCAACCAAACGGCAAGCTCCCCACCCCCACCCCTGTAACATTCTAGAGGTGTCCCGTCAAACCAAGCATGTGTTACTGTTTTTAGATATATTTTTTTAATAACTAACGGATTCTCATTATAACCTTTTCTGTGCTACTGGCATTTGAAATTATTTTATAAAACTAACATTTCACATATAAATACTCCACTAGTATAGTCTAAAACATTCATCACTTTCGAATATTTATTTTTCGTTTGGATACTCTTTATAAGCGATATCCATTTTTCTTTAACTCAGTGTCCACCTCCCGTACAATTTACACGGAGAACGAATTATTGTCAGCACAGAATATGCAGCATAGAAACCTTTTGGACTGTTGATTTCTCATAGCTATAGAGAGTTTTGCTTGTTGTTACAAACTCACCGACCAAAAGAAGTTTATTTTCCGAGAGAGTGATAGCCATTGCTCATAACTGATTTTCTATCCGACAAACAAATGAGAATAAAGACAAATTGTAGTGAAACGCTAGTTTTATATTGTCCGTCCGTTCTGGTAGTCAGGTCAGGGTTCAGAGTTCATTCCTTGTACGTCATGGAAAAATGCATTATTGGATATGCTTACGTGAAAGTCCAAATTTGGCAAGGCTTAGGTGACCCATGAGGTAACTTTAATACGGTTTAAACGTTTGAAATTTGATTAATTTTGTTGCAATATGTTTGTTCTGTGGCTCTAAAGGTAAAATATGTATTAAAGACAGGTTAATTTCTGTATTTTTCAGTTTTTTACCGCAGGTTGGGGCGAAAGCTAGGTGCAACCAAGAACCCCTACACTGTGTTTGTGATGATTGTAGACTATGGCTATAGGAACTAGGAACTTTGTATATGAAATAAAGGGGCTCATTAAAGGCGTTTAGTTTGTATTTCTTTGAACTCATTCGATATCATGGTAAAAAACTCATGGCTGAAAACCCGGGAAAAAGGACCATCAAAATGACGGAAAAGGCACGTCAGGCATTTGAGGACAAGTCGGCAAGTATAAACATAGAATGTTTCTATAGAATAGAATGTCTCATAACTGATATTGAGTATGAAAATATGAACTTGGATGAATTACCCAATCATATGAATCCTATGAACAAGTTTCAACCAAATTCAGTAAATATTTGGAAGAAAGTAGAACGGAAGAAGGCCAGGAAGAATTATTATCTCATATGACAGCTGTGGAAACATTAAAATCCCAGTGTGATACGGTTTTGGACCAAATTCAATCATTTATTGACAAAATAAACCCAGTTCAAACTGTACCTGTGGTCGATAACATTTCACATGGGTTTGTAGTCGAGGAAAAACCTCGGCATAGTGTAAGTGAACATAAAAACGTCGTTTCGGATATTATGTCGATAAAGTCGAAAACAAGTAAAACCTCGGTGCGTTCTAGCATAACTAACATCTCAAGGGTCAGTTCAGTATATATGAAACAACGAGCGAAATTGGAAGCGGCCAAAGTGAGGCTAAAATTTGCTGAGAAAGAGGCCGAATTGCAAAAATCCCTTCAGCTGTTAAAATCACAAAGAGAACTGGACGAGGCAGCAGCCGAGCTTAAGGCTATGGATGACGTTATTGGCACTGGTAGCCCTATCAGACATTGTTCACAAGCACCGTCGGATGATAAGGAGTTACACAGGAAGTCTAGGACAGTTGAATTTGTGCAAAGACAAGCCGAAAATTTGAACACCAGTTATGAAACATCCGACCCCTATTCACATAAAGTGCCGTTAAACGTTGAGGCTCGAGAATTCACCCCAGGTCAGTGTGTAACTGGACTGAATGATTTGACCAAATTTATGCTAAAGAAAGACTTGCTTATGGGTAGACTCACTCAGTTTACTGATAAACCCGAGGAGTGTCGTGTCTGGAAAATGTCATTCCTAAATGTTGTAAAGGAACTTGATGTAAGCCCTCAAGAACAATTAGACTTATTATTGAAATGGTTGGGGCCAGAATCTCGAAAACAGGCTGTAAGTCTACGTGCTGCAAACATACACGACCCACCCCAAGCCTTGTGTAAAATCTGGACTAGGCTCAGTGAGAAGTACGGCGCGCCCGAGCAAATTGAGTTATCTTTGAGGGAAAGGCTAAACAAATTCCCGAAATTAACGAACCGAGATGGTCAGAAATTATTTGATCTCTCGAAGATATTGGCGGAAATTCAGGCAGTAAAGGAAAACACGCTCGATAATGGCGTACTACGATTCGTCCAGCGGTATAAACCCAATTGTTTGCAAGTTACCCGTGTTCATACAGAACAAATGGACTGACTATGCGTGCAGATATCAAACCGAGCACAATGTTACATATCCGAAATTCAGTGTTTTCGAGAGGTTCATACAGGAAATGAGCTCGCGAATGAACAAGCCGAGTTTCAATTACACATGGTACTGCGGTACCTAGAGTCAGCAAAGAACAACGTCGTACTGCGTCTAACGGAAGTAGGAATGCATACGTCTTTTCAAAGAAAACGGATGCCAATAATGTGCCTACAGCATTTTTGTGCCCACTTCATGACAGTGCGAGAGAAGTGAAGCATTTGTTAACAGATTGCTACCTGTTTCTATCGAAATCCAAGGACGAAAAGAGGGAAATTCTCATAAAACACGGCGTGTGCTTTAAGTGTTGTATGGACAAACATTTGGCCAAGGACTGTACAGAAAAAGTAATCTGTACTGTGTGTAAAGGTTCATCGCATTGCACCATGTTTCATGATGACAAATATCAGCCCCGTCAGTCTCACGGCGAGGAAAGGACAAGTATCAGGGGAGACAATCGTAAGATAGTGTACACAGTTGTGCGGTGAAACCGGTCCCTTCGTGGGGAAATCGTGTGCAAAAACGGTGTTAGTAAATATCTACAAGGACGGACAACTTAATAATGCGTTGCGTGCTTATGCCATTATAGATGAGCAGAGCAATCGGACATTGGCCAAAAGTGAGTTCTTCGATTATTTTGGAGATCATTCTACGGAAACCGGATACGTACTTTCATCATTTGCCGGTGAAATTCAGGTAACCGGGAGGCAAGGCAGCGGATACGTAATGGAATCATTAGACAAGGAATACTCATTAAAATTACCGTTGATTACAGAATGCAATCATATTCCGAATGTGAAACAGGAAATACCAACACCGAAAGTTGCACGACACTATAGTCACATGCAGGACATTGCTCATCTTATCCCAGAGTATGAAAACAATATTGCTTCTCGTTGGCAGAGATCTCATTTCGGCGCATCATGTGTTGGACTAGCGAACTGGACATGAACGTGAATCATATGCACAGAAATTAAAATTCGGTTGGGTAGTTGTAGGAGAATCGTGCTTGGGTCTCGTTCACAAACCTGCGGTCATAACTGTGAGCAAAATGGTCGTTTTACCGAATGGCAGACCTACTCTCATGGATCCGTGTCCGAATTACTTCAAGGCTCAGTTTGAAAAATCCGATGATAAGTTGCCAATTGGAATGGACATATTTCAAAGAACAAAATTCGATGATATTCCTGGTTACTCGCAACAGGATAAGGAATTCATGGGTGTCATGGAAGGGGAGTTTATTAAAGACGAGTACGGTAATTGGAGTGCACCGTTAACTCTAAAAAAGGAACGATCTACTTTGTCAAACAATATGGATCAGGCAAGGCATCGCGCAGAAAATCTACGAAAGTCGTTACTGAAAAATCCTACTAAGCGCTAACAGTTTTGTGCGTTTATGCAAAACATTTTTGACAAGGAGCATGCAGAGGTAGCTCCCGAGTTACAAGACGGCGAGGAAGCATGGTATCTACCGATATTCGGGGTTTATCATCCCCAAAAACCCAACAAAATCCGAGTCGTGTTCGATTCGGCTGCAAAGTTTAATGGACATTCGCTTAACGACATGACAGGTCCGGATCTCATAAACAATTTGGTTGGTGTGTTAATGAAATTCAGGAAGGAACGAATTGCGATTATGGCCGATGTTGAACAGATGTTCTTCAACTTCTATGTGCACAAGCGTGACAGAAACTTTCTACGTTTCTTATGGTTTCAAGATAATGATCCCACACAACCGCTAAGGGAATTTCGTATGTGCGTGCATGTGTTTGGCAACTCGTCTTCTCCGTGTATTGCCACACTTGGATTAAGGAAATCTGCTTGCGACCATATCGATTCTTCCGCGTGGGACGAGGTGTGTTGTTTCGTCAAAGAGAGCTTCTACGTTGACGATGGGTTGACCTCTGTATCTGACGAAGGTCACGCAGTGCAGTTGTTGAGAGACACTCAAGCTCGATTACGGCAAAACGGAAACATTCACTTGCACAAGTTCTCGTCGAACAGTGTTGATGTTTTAAAGCAGTTTCCAAAAGAGGATACCAGCGAAATTTGCGATATGGACTTCGATGATATCGTTCATAGGAGTCTCGGATTACGTTGGAAAGTCGGTTGTGATACGTTCACGTTTAGTGTTTCTGATGAGGTGAAACCGTTCACCAAACGAGGCGTACTTTCTACAATACATAGTGTATTCGACCCCCTCGGCTTTGTGGCACCAGTTATTCTCGGAGGCAGACTATTAATGCGAAATGTGTTATCGTCAAAGGGTCTTGACTGGGATGACCATTTACCTCCGGACTTGAACTCTGATGGGAAAAAATGGAGGTCTTCGCTTAAAGATCTGGAACATTTAGAAATTTCGAGATGTTAATCCAATTTGTCATTGGAAAAGGCAATTCGTCGTGAACTACACGTATTCTCAGACGCGTCAAAGGATGCCCTAGGCGCACTAGCATACATGAAAATTTATGACGTACAGGAAAATGCTTCTGTTGGATACGTTCTTGGCAAATCGAAAGTAGCGCCTACCCAAGGACATACCATTCCAAGACTAGAACTGTGCGCGGCTGTTCTGGCTACTGAACTCGGTCTATTTATATCCGAACACGTCGATGTTGTGTTTGACGCCACCTACTACTATACCGACAGTCAGGTAGTACTAGGGTATGTATTTAACGACACGCGCCGTTTCTTCGTTTATGTTGCTAATGGGATTGACAAGATTCTGAAGTTATCTTCCAAACAGCAGTGGAGTTTCGTTTCTAGTGAATGTAACCCTGCCGATAGTGCGACTAGGCCAATGCGTGCGAAAGACGTTGGAAAGTCAGTGTGGTTGAACGGACCCGTTGACGTCATGAGTGATTTGCAAAGTTCGTATAGAGACCAAGTATTTCCGTTGATCGGTAACGACGACGGTGAAATAACGTTCGTCAACGACACAAATGTCATGAAAACTCACGTTCGGAAGGACTTCGCTCTCGACTCTGACCGTTTCGCGAGATTTTCGTCATGGACTAGGTTGGTTAGTGCAATAACCTTACTGAAACAAGTCGCGCATCGTCATCACAACGGAACAGACAATCCAGACGTGTTGCGTTTTGTTAACGATTCAAAGAACCTCATACTGAAGGTTGTTCAACAAGAGTTTTATTCGATGGAAATCGACTGTTTGCAGAAAGGACTGCCGTTAAACAGGAACAATTCTTTGTTGAAATTGTCGCCGTTTCTAGACGACGAGGGGATCCTGAGGATTGGTGGTAGGATTCAGAATAGTGACATTGACTTACCTGGAAATGATCCGATCATTGTCCCAGCAAAACATCGCGTAGCTACTCTAATCTTGAGATATTATCACGAGATATCGGAACACCAAGGCCGACATATTACGGAGGGTAAAATACGTTCTTCTGGTTATTGGCTATTGGGAGGAAAGCGATTAATTTCCTCTATTTTACATCACTGTGTCGTGTGCAGGAAACTCCGAGGAAAGTTTGTGGAACAAAAAAAAGTGTACTTTTACCGCAGGATCGTTTGACACCATGTCCGCCTTTCACTTACATTGGATTGGATGCGTTTGGACCATAGAATGTGCGCGCGAGAAAAACTAGGGGAGGACAAGCTAACGCAAAACGTTGGGCTATAATATTCTGTTGCATAGTATCGAGAGGGATACATATTGAGGTCGTAGAGGAGATGAGCACATCTTCCTTCATTAACGCACTGCGGAGATTCATCGCGCTCAGAGGACCGGTAAAGCACATTAGGTCGGACAAAGGATCTAACTTCGTAGGAGCCGTTAAGGAACTTAACTTGAATGTTATTGACGTCGAGAACAAAGCCGTGAAAGACTTTCTTTCAGAGGAAGGAATCACATGGACTTTTAATCCTCCATATGCCTCCGATATGGGCGGATCTTGGGAACGGCTTATTGGTACCGTTAGAAGGATTCTGGACAACATGTTGCGTAATACTGACACTAAACACCTCACGCATGAAGTCCTTACGACTTTTCTAGCCGAAGCGTGTGCTATAGTGAACCAGCGACCACTGGTACCCGTATCTGACGACCCTGAAAACTCAGTGGTATTGTCGCCAAGTACTCTCATTAAGCAAAAGACTGACGTTCCAAATGTAGATCTAACCTTGGTAGACTTCTCAGTGAAAGACATGTTTCGATCCCAATGGCGATGTGTTCAGGTATTGGCCCAGAAATTTTGGAACGCGTGGAGAAGAGACTATCTACAAACGCGACAAAAGTGGAATCACGAACGTTCAAACTTGAAACAAGGTGAAATTGTTTTGCTGAAGGATCATGACTCTCATCGTAATGACTGGCCAATGGGAATTGTTGATTGTGTTTTCCCTAGTCACGATGGTCTTGTTCGGAAAGTCAGAGTAAAGACAATTCGTAATGGACGATCGATTTCGTATATCCGTCCTATTACGCAGTTAGTACTATTGATGGCAGAGTGAATTATTGTGTTGAACATTGACAGCGACAAGTGAATTTTGTTGCTTAGAAACTTTAGTTTATTGTTATTCAGATAAGTTTTGATATTACATATTTTCATCGGGTTATAAATAATATGAATGTTTACAGGGTTTAAATGTAGTAGTGATTTAGCAATCAGGCGAGAAATGTAGTGAAACGCTAGTTTTATATTGTCCGTCCGTTCTGGTAGTCAGGTCAGGGTTCAGAGTTCATTCTTTGTACGTCGTGGAAAAATGCATCATGGGATATGCTTACGTGAAAGGTTTAGGTGACCCATGAGGTAACTTTAATACGGTTTAAACGTTTGAAATTTGATTAATTTTGTTGCAATATGTTTGTTCTGTGGCTCTAAAGGTAAAATATGTATTAAAGACAGGTTAATTTCTGTATTTTTCAGTTTTTTTACCGCAGGTTGGGGCGAAAGCTAGGTGCAACCAAGAACCCCTACACTGTGTTTGTGATGATTGTGGACTATGGCTATAGGAACTAGGAACTTTGTATATGAAATAAAGGGGCTCATTAAAGGCGTTTAGTTTGTATTTCTTTGGACTCATTCGACATCACACAAATCATGTCAAACTGTGGCCAAATAATGACAACAATGACAAAAAATGACAAATTCGTGACACAGTTGTGAAAACTTTGACAAAAGGATGACAAATCCATGTCAATTTTTGAAAAAAAAAATGATGAGAAAACATGACATTTACAGTAGACGATCTGAGAGGAACAGATATTGGCACAACGTACATTAATGACAAGGCGTGCAAAATGTCTTAAAATAGTATTGCAGAGGTTGAATGACAGGTTTGGTTTATTTCTGTAATGATCGATGGACTCAGAGATTCAAGTATTCAGTAACAAGAGTTCATTTACATCAGATATGCATTGAACAGTACCCACGACGTTTGATAATGATAGGTGTCCAAACATGCTTGCTGTGGTTAACTTGGTACTGGCACTGCATGCGAGTCAAGTCCAATAAGGAAGGAGATCCAGTCATCGTAAACTGACTGGCGCAGTAGTTTAGGTGTTGTTTCATAGAACATTTATAAGCGTATTGCCAAGACATCGGATAGTTTGATCCAAAGCCTGTGTAACTCCACTTTATTTTATTTAATTATGATAAATCGTGGTTAACTGGCAAATTAAATCCTGGCAAATCATGACAAAATGAGAACAAATCCATAATAAACCGTGACAAAACGATGACAAACTCACAGATCATGCCAATCTCTGACCAAATGACAAAATACGACAAGTCGTGATAAACGAAATCATCCCATATAATCAATCTCTTTCAAGATGACGTCACGAAAACTAACTCGACAATCCAAATGCAGAATGTCCATTATGACACGGAAACTAACACGACAGACAAGATTAACACTTCACAAGCATGACGAATTTCGATGGATGACGTCGTTAAAACGTACACACTGTGCTGACGAGGTGAGAGAAAATCTGATAAGCAAAGCTATGACGTCTATACAATCAATATTTTGCAATTCTAAACACAATACACTTTACATTTTGCAACTCTTAATAGGCAATACACTCAACATATAAAACCTTTAAAACTATGACGCTACAATAATACACACTGCATGATGATATCATGACGATGAGGGATCGCAGGGTTATGGTCCAGTTTGAAATTAGTTTTTAAAGGAGTCGTCGGGAGATGATGTAAGACGTTATTGAGAGAAAGGTTAGTTGTTCTTTCTTGTACTGTGTCTGACTACTGAATACTTGCCAGAAGTATTATATTAGTTTACTTAAAATGAAATGTTGCAGGAATCCATTAATCATTGTTGACCAGTTGCATCTACAGTTTTTTACACTCAAGTTCACTTTAAATGCCGAGGAAAAGACAACTAGTTCACAAGAAACAGACTACAGGTAAACAAGAAATGCACTAGGGTCTACACATGTATTGTCATAAACTGATATATAATGGATGGAGCCAATGATTTTATGGTGTGGCGTTTCAGCTCAAAGACTATACAAACCAAAGGATACCTGTTGTTTTTCCTGTGCACCTTTTGAACGATAAATATCTTTTTCAAACGTGTTGTAACTACTGTTTATAGATGACATTGAATGTGTTCTAATCCTTTATTAATAAAGTTAACTTGTCATATTTGATACGAGATGAGATTTTAATATAAATTTAATATGCTGCTCAGTGATCTCGTATTAATATTTGCGGTTAATATTTTCTTTTCATGACAAAACATAAATATTTGAAAATTAGATTTGTATATAATCTACTTAATAGACATTTTGTTTGAGATCAACGCGAAGTAACTAGCTTTTAAAACTGTGTAGTGTCACATTACTCACACTCATTCCACACGATTCAAAAACAAAAAAAAACTAAAATGGATCCTGTATTGCCAGCGCCTATTACCAGTGATAAAAGTATTATAAGTAAAAATGACCATTAGGTGACCTTGACCAAACTAGAGAGCAATTAAATGACCAGTGTCACAACATTGCTAGACTGGCAATCCCCTTCTCACGAATATCAAGCTTGTGTGCACACACTGTACGATACATATCTCATGTAACTAGCCAACCATAAAAAAAACTTTGTAATACACGAAGGATTTCAAGATGAATCAGAAAAAAAAACACTAAGCATACAAACGAAATAATGGAATGAGAGAAAACGATCTTTTTAATACATACATGTATGTAATTTTAAATAATGCATTAGATCATCATGACATGCATTGAATTATTTGTTTTTATCTGATTACACAGATTTTGCTTGAACAAGTCATCAAGAAACACAGATATTTACCAACAGAACTTTCAATAACAGAAGGAAAAAAATCTTTTGTGATGCGAAATTTGGAAAAGGTATGACGAAATATTTTATTGCCTGGAAATGTTGCTGTATACTAATAAAAAATATATGAATAAAGACTTTTTCTGCCATGTTTGAAGACGGCAGATTTATATACAGAGCTTTGTGCATGCGTCAGAGGGCGCGACTTCCCGCATATGAATTAGCGTTGTGTCGTTTCGAATTCTTTTTAAAACTATTTATTACGTTGGATTAGTAGCGATTTACTTTAAAATTGCGGTATTACAAAGTAAGTCAGAACTTTTTCTACTCGAGAAAAATAGAAAATCATGATTTTTATGTATAAAATACTCGAGGAGTGGGTCTGGCTCTATAAGAGAAATTTGGAAAATCAGAATCGTGGCTCACAAATAAAAATTCATGACTCCGTCAGGGTCATATCTAGAACTGACGAAAGATTTTGCTTAAAATTATATAACATAATAATGATAATTATCTACTTGTACCCGACTGTGCCATATATTTAATGGCAGTCTCACTGGTACTCTTGCTATACGTTGCGGTGTAGGTTTTTTACATTGAATTGAACATTGTACAAGGATGTTAACCCTTCCTGTGGTTTCCAGACCAAAGACCTCATGACAGTCATCTCAGCCTAGATTGTCACCTCACCAACATGAATAATGTTTAGATGTCTTTCAACATCTCATTCATTAATGGTTTATCGGCTAATCACTTCCTTTACTAACCTGGATCCATCTCCCTTGAAGATACATATTTCACTTATTTAAGTATGTTCTACCTAATGCATTTAATTCCTGATATATTCAAATAAAGCACTTCTATTTAAATGATCAAACTTGGATATTATACTTATTTCTAAATAGAAGTAGTTGACTATAACACAATAACATATCTATAAAAGTTTTTATTGTTTTATGTTTTAAATCAATTCATTAAATTATATGATATGCTTTCTTATATATGTTTAACATCTTTGTTTGATTACACGTTTGAAGATTACCAGTAGATAATACTTCCAATTGATTAATTTTCTCACAATATAAACTATATAGAATGACTTTCATTCATCTTTTATTCCTGTCAAGTCTGTGTTCCCCACCTGTCAATTATATATCATTTAAAGATTGTAGCTGTTCAGTGTATTTTGTTTTGAATAATGAAAGGCATAAGAATTTCCATTACAATAAAAAAAACAAGGTCATTG